GATGCTTGATGATTAACCAATTGAAAACTCAATGAATGAAAGTTTATTTCGGTGCTTGAAAATTTCGATCAATGTTCGAATAATTATTCACTGATTCTACTCTCTATTTCCAATATTCAGTTAAAGGTCTTACGAGTCAGAAAAGAATAACTTTTTGATTTATCAGTAAAAAGGGAAGAAAAAACAAATAAAATGATAAAAGAACATTTTTCAAAATTTATTTATTTATCATTATTGGCATTATAAATAAGCTATTGTCGATTATGATATGATCTGCATTAAAGAATTGACTTGACTTGGGCCATTTATCAATTAGTAAAAATTGAACAATGATTAATAATCGACATAAATTGAGAAATGACGCATAACATGTATAATATAACAAATTTATAACATAATAAAATTTTAAAAATATTAATTATCAGGTTCATTATAAAATGACTCTCTTTATCCAGAATTGACTATACCATATTCTATTCTTATGTATTAATATTCTTTATATTCTAAACCCCTTTAAAATAGCTTAGAAATCGCATTATCTGTTCTAAAAAAGTTTGTACTGTTAGTTTTCTTCCAATGACCCATCTATATTTAATGATTTAGTAATTATATATAATTCTAATAATTCTATAGTCACAATATACATAGAAATTTCACTTCCTAAGTATATTTATGATTATTTGAGATTATTTTCCATAGTGACTACTAGTGCTTCTTCGAAGATAGAGACAGTTATTTTTTACTTGTTAAATGTTGTATTCTTAAAAAGTACTCTAAACTGTATAAATGCAATTATAAGTGTTATCTATATAGATCATCATGTGTTCGCCTATATCCTGGTGCATTTATATAAGTAAAAAAACAACTGCATATGAGTGAAATTAACTAATGAAAAAATTTTCTGTTATTATTATGCGTCGTATGAATAATTATTGTTTATATAACCATCGCATAACTGATAAAACTGATTACGTAATTTCTTGCAAATAAATATCGATATGAAATGTTGGGTAATTTTTTGACACAATCATTCCTTTCATCAAAAAGGAAATGTGGCAGATCACGAGTAAAGCGCAACCAATAATTGACAACTCTTAAAAGGTGATTGTCGAAATTATGATTATTATTGCTCAATCAGATGACTTTATTTAGATAGAAACTGAAGAACATATGGGAATACGGTTCGCTACCCTTCGAAAGCTCTATCTAATATATAAATATACAACTTCGAAACCCATAGGGAACCATACTTAAAACAGCAAAACAAGACAAACACAACAAATGCCACCTGTAGAGGGAAAACAACCGAAGCAACTCCTACAGCTGTAAAGAGAATCGGTTATACTGTCCTTTGCCAATGCGAGGAAGGGTTCACTCTTATCGTGGTCCTTGTACTGCCACCTGAAGCTACGGAACCAGATTACAAGACAAAAACAGGTCCTTGCACTGCTACTGCAGCCGCAGAGCCAAATCATAAACAAAAGGTCCTTGCACTGCTACTGCAGCCACGGAGCCAAATCACAAACAACAGGTCTTTGCACTGCTATTGCAGCCGCAGAGCCCAACATAACAATAGGCCCCGGAACTGCTACTGCAACCACAGAGTCTAAACTATATCCAGTTTTACTTCGTTACAGGGACCTATGACACAACGAATGTTGCTTGTCTAAATTCGGGTGGGTAAGGGAGGGCGATAGAGCCAGCCTTTACAAGGCGAGCAATAGCGAAGAGAAAGATACCCTCTTCTACCAAGACAAGAAGACTTAAATATCCTATACCACCCAAGAATATTCTCACCCTCCTGCATTACCGATTCCCAACTTGAGACTAACCATTATCTCTTACTACTATTAACTATTTACTAATAACTCATAAAAACGTAAATTTCAAATAATCATATGCAATCACTCTACTAATTCGAAAATACCTGTACATACAAGAAACATATCGATTTAATAACCACAACCAAAAAAGAAAGAATAACCATAAAAGGATACATAACAAATCCAGAACATGATAGACTATAAAGTCATCTGATCTCGCAATAATGATCGCCCTGTCACTTCGTTGACAGGCTTTTCATTAACGGGTTTCATACTCACAAAAGATACGGTATGCATGCCACTTGCTTGCCGGTACACACTTATCATTATTGATTATTTAGGAAATACAGTATGTATAAAAAAATTTAAGATAAATTTTTTCAGTCAAAAATATTATATTGAAGCCTAGTAGAAACTTAATAAAAAAATAAGTATATTGACAATAAGCATAGTTAGTATAAAGGTATCTTAGTGGTGTTTTGTATCAGACCCTAAGTCATTTAGTCAGCGCATTACGGTACAGATTAGTTATGATAATTAATCTTTACTGAGTTGAATTATAAAATTTTAATAAATAATCTCTAAATTCTTTTATTCCATTGTTAAAATCAGAACACTCAACTATATAGTTAAATACTATAAATTTAAATAGTAGCTCAAAACAAGGTTTCGCAATAAAATTTCTTGAACATAAAAGGATATACCAGGAATGGAGTATGAAATACGAAGTTACCAGGAATGGAGTATGAAATACGAAGTTACCAGGAATGGAGTATGAAATACGAAGTGTATGGTTTACGAAAGAGTTAAGTGGTGTCTCTTCTGTATCTGATTGGATGATAATTGGATTTCTATATTTGTATGCTGCTAGGGCTTTGCCCCTTAAAACGTGTACATACCAGTTTCGGTCCAGTTTGATTGTGTTGGAGTTCTTGAACCGGAGGTATCTTGATTAGTATTATTCATTTGTAAAGTTGTAAAAGAAAATCACATGATCTTCCGGCTAATTAGATCTGAACTATAGTACGATCGAATTATAACACTAAAGAGATTACATATTCATTATATCATTAATTTATGCAAATATTGAAATGTTCTCTAAATAATAATATACCAGAAGAGTATAGTTTACGAGCAAGTTAAGTGAGGTCATCCGATTGGTTGATCTAATATTGTGACCTCATCTATACTTATACTCTATGAGGCTTTTTGTCTATCGCTATTGACAAATTATAACATTAGACGTTTGTGATCAAGGGATTATTCTTGTTTTTACCTGTTTTTGTTTGTGATTTTTGAAACATTTATATCATATAAATTT